GTGATAGAGCTGCAAATGAAGTCTACACAAAGACACTCATCTCTTAAAAATATATCCTTATATTTGCTCATTAAATTCATTCAGAAAATATTTGTTGAGTAATTTTTTGGTTCTAGGCAGCTGGGGATACCATAGAGACCAAGACAGAAATTGTTCCTGTTGTTGGAGAGATTACATTCTGGTGAAGGAGGCAGAGGATAAATAAATAATTACAGAAATAAATAAAAAATAACTCTTATGAACGAAATGAAGAGTGAGACAAGTCAGAGAATCACTAAGGGCAGAGTTCGAGAAAGTGATTTTAGACAGGGTAAGCTAAAAGACCTATCCAAGGAAATGACATTCAAGCTGACTGAAAGATGAACAAGAACAGGGAAAGGGTTCCAGGCCCAGAAAATCTACAGAATTCACCAGCAGGTACATATCTCCAAAGAAACTGGAAATATTCATTTTTCTTTCCTAACATCTTCTGGATAATTCCAAGCCTACTTTCAGTTTTATAAAAAGCACTTCGTTCATGAGCTGAGAGCATGAACCATACCTTCTTCATCTTCATAGTCCTAGCACTTCACAAAGTGCCTTGACATGGTGGGCACTCAAAAGATGTTTGAGGGCTAAGTCAATGAATAGATGAATAAAGGGTTAACCTCTATGAACCTAGAAGGTTTCCTAAAAGAAATTTTAAAAATTATGGTTCAGGATGATGTCAGCAAAAATGGTAGAGTAAGGACTCCAAAAACTCCCTCTTTAAAATCAATGAGAATCTGGTAAATATTGTGAGAATCAATTTTTTCAGAACTCTAGAAATTAACCAAAGGCTTGCAGCAATCCAGGGAGTGTTTACCCAAGAAAAATGGCTGAATCTTGGTAAGAACAGCAAGCTTAATGACATTTTAACTGGCCCTATTTCCATCCCCCTCTCCACAGATCCACATAGCCTTGAAGACCAACAGCCTGCAATCATAGCACAAACCAGCAGCCCAGTAGCCACCAGAGGGGGCCAAACAGGGTTGGAACTACTTCAAAACCTCATTACTAGAGATTTCTCATTATTTGACCTGCCTGGCAGTTCTCCAGAAGATCCCACTTGCAAGACTGTCTTTATCTGACCTGACTTAGAGCTCATCCATTAGAAAAAGTCTTTTCTCCAGGGATGTTGGCTGGAAACCTTTAGATAATTGTTTAACTTTGCAGCTACCTGAGGCAACAGATGACAGTTGGGACAAACAAGAGGCAAACCAAAATGATTAAAATGAAAAGCTAGGGAATGAGATGTCCTAGGGGTTTTGAAGAGGTCCAATGTATTCCTGGAAATATAGAAGGCCAGGTGTAGGGCTGAGCAAATGCCCAGGGCTTTACTCATGCTCAGGAAAGACCTGAGAAGGCCCTAAGGTCTCGCTTCAGGCTGACTTTGAGGCTCTGTGCAAGCAGGAAGTGAAAGCTAAGGCAGAGTTATCAACTGCCTGGCTGAGTGTTGAAGGCATGCCCCAACATGCTCACAGAGCCCCTTGGCAAAGAACGGGAGTCTTATTGTTTCCTAGTGTAAAGAAATCTCTGTTCAAGTATTAGCTGACCACTAAACTAACCAAGCAGAGATATAAGTGGCCATATATGATAAAGAATACAAACTAGGGGCCAGCCCCGTGGCTTAGCGGTTAAGTGCGCATGCTCCGTTACTGGCGGCCCGGGTTCGGATCCCGGGTGTGCCCCGATGCCCCGCTTCTCCAGCCATGCTGAGGCAGCATCCCACATACTGCAACTAGAAGGATGTGCAACTATGACATATAACTATCTACTGGGGCTTTGTGGGGGAAAAAGGAGGAGGATTGGCAATAGATGTTAGCTTAGAGCCAGTCTTCCTCAGCAAAAAGAGTAGGATTGGCATGGATGTTAGCTCAGGGCTGATCTTTCTCACAAAAAAAAATTAAAATTAAGAATACAAACTTTACAGAATTAGTTAAGAAAAGTCACTAAACAAACAAACAAATAAGAACAACAAGCAGCAATAACAATAACACTTGAGGAGAGAAGAGTATCTGATTTTCAGAGGTGCCACATTAGGTTATTTAAAATATCCAGTTTTCAACAAAAAATTACAATATGCAACAAGAAATACGAAATAAGACGAAATAAGAAAATATATAGCATACACAGGGAGAAAAGCAATCAATAGAAACTATCTCTGAAGAAATCTAAATGTTGGACTTAAAATAAGACTTTGAAAGATATTTTAAATACATTCAAAGAACTAAAAACATCATGTCTAAAGAACTAGAGAATATCAGTAAAGACAGAAAAGAAACAGAAATTATGAACACTAAAGATTAAAACAGAAATAAATGAAAGAGTATAGAAAATCAATAGAAAAATTAAAATCAAACAAAATCAATAAAACCAAGTTAGTTTTTTGAAAACAATATTGACAATCCTTTAGCTACATTGACCAAGGAAAAAAGAAAAAGGACACAAATTACCAAAATCAAGAATGAGGGAGATGCTTTCCTAGTGACCTTACAGAAATAAAAAAGATTATGGAGAATATTATGAACAACTGTATGCCAACTCCTAATAGACACAAATGCAAAACTGACTTAAGAAGAAACAGATAATCGGAATAGGACTACAACAAGGGGTGAGAATGAATTAATCAAAAAATCTCTCACAAAGAAAATCTCTGGACCAGATCACTTCACTGGTAAATTCTACCATATGGTTAAAGAAGAATTAACCCCAATCCCTTGCAAACTCTTCCAAAGAATATAAGATGAAGGAACACTTCTGAAATCATTCTATAAAGCCAGAATTATCCTCATACCAAAACCAGACAAAGACATCACAAGAAAACTATAAACCAATATCCCTTATTAATGTAGATGCAAAATTCCTCAACAAAATACTAGCAAACTGAATCCAGCATCATATAAAAATCATACATTTTATATGGATTATATACCATGATTAAGTAGGATTTATCCCATGAATGTAATCTTCAAGTCAATTAATGTAAAACATCATGATATGAAGTAAAACACTATGCTAAGAGGAAGAACCCCGACACAAAGGACAAAGTATTCAATAGCAGCTTTTACCCTGAGACCTGTTTATAAGAAAGTTAGGCGAAGTGTCTGGGATGGGCTCTAGGGGTGAGTGCTAAGGCCAGAGAGATTCAGAGTTGGAAATTTACTAAGGACATCTCCAAGAAGGAAAAGGTGATCCCGTGATAGACAAGAGGATAAGAATGGTAGAATTACCATATTAAGTCAGATTCTAGATCCATGCACTTGAATGTTCTTTCTTTGACAGGATCCTTTGTATGGGACATGGATATTTTCCTTGACATCACCCTCCAAAGATCTGTGGTTTCCTCTCGCAATATCTAAATTCCGGAGCTGCTACAACATCTTATGCATGAATTGACCTGAATTGCTTCTGTTATATTAGCATGGCAAAAATATAAGCAATATAACATGGCAAAAAATGTTTGTGATATTTTTTATAAGTTGTTTTCAATCCTACAAGAGTCTTACAGACTGAAAACATTGATATAGTATAGTTATTACACTGGTACTACTATTTCAAGGAGCATTTTTCTGTCAGAGGAGAACAACAGGTTCTAAAAATAAACCAGAATATAGAAAAAGAGAAGAAGTTTTAGCTTTCTCCATTAGACCTGTGGTCAAGAGTTCAAGATTCAAGCATTGCAGAAATTTAGATTAATACAACACTTTTGTTGTTGTTGTGGCCTTTGGGTCAAATAGGCTCCCCACATTACCCCACCATCCTCATATCTACCTTTTTATTTCCTAAAGACCAAAAATTTGGAGAACCCTAAGTCAGGAGAAGACTCTAGCAAGGAAATGGTAGAGTATGTAACAATCCAGGATGCATTCTCTTGTATCATTTGTAGACACGCGGGCATGCACATGTCCATTAGCTTTGTAGATGTAAGCTCCGTAAAGGAGGCAGTCTTCTCTAATACTCACTAGTGTACCTCCAGAATCTCACTTGTTAGCATTGTTGGTACTCAATTATTGTAATGCTCGCCCTTTCTATGAGATAAGACCCAGCACCCGCTGATTCACACTCCCGGCTCAGAGACAGTATGGCTTAGATGGCCATGTTGGTCAAGCCAATTTGCTTTCTGGTTTAACTCAATAAGAAGCAGTAAAAAATAAAGAAAAAATTCCAAATAAAATATTTTCAGCAATCATGAAAGGGGGAATAACTGTTAATTGGCATCATACCTTTTGTCCTACTATTATATTGTTTTCTTCCAAGAAAACCAGTTATTTACTATTCTTTTTATATCATAATCATAATTTGACATATTAAGGTTTAAAAAAAATCTACTCCCAAATAGGTTAAATTATGCTAAATAAACAAGTGGTTGAGCTCTCTCCATTCAAGTTTATTTCTGCTTTTAAAAACATATGACAGTTGTAGAGGTCAAATCTGAACTAAGAAGTGCAAGGCAGTAATCTCCATCTGCAGGTCTAACCCTCAAATCTCTAACAGCTGCAACTTTTAAAATAATGCCTTTGGTGGCAAAACCTTACCTGACACCCACACTTCAGCAGTACTATTATGTAATATATGGAATATGCATCATACACCTTTTTATAAAATCTGGAAAATCCTGAATTCCAAAACTATGAACTTGTAGCTCAATTGAGGTAATGGGCCAAGAAATTTGAAGAAAATACCTGCATATATATATTTATGTTTATAAGTAGGGTAGTCAAATCACAATCTCTCTAGCATTTATTTCGTGATTTGGAAAGTAAGGGGATTAGCCTAGATGACCTCTAAAATCCTTGACTATAAGTAAATTCTAGGATTCTACCTGATCAATTTATATCCTGAAACACATAAATCGTGGTCAATTTTGGATTATGTTGAATTTCTATAAAATTATGGGCATTTAGCTTTGCCCATAACATGTGACAAGCATACATTATTTAATTTCTCTTCAGTTACATAATTTAACTCAGGCTTAGTACCTGCTGTGCCAAACACAGAAGATATATCTTTCATGATGGTCGTGTAGATACTGGGATGAGAGAGGATAAAGGCAATTGTCCAAAATGTAACCTTAAAAAGAAAAACATATATCAAACAATACAACCTTCTTTGAAAGTGGGCAAAAGCATACTTAGTATTAGTCATAAACATTTCAAAGAATATGGAAAATATTTAAATTAAACTTAAAAGCATGTTAGTAAAGAGCATCTTTGAAAACCACTAGATTTTATGAACAAAAGAGATATATATCTCTAAGAGGTCAAATCTGTAATTTTATTCTGTCACTATAGTTTAACTATATTGTTTATATAGATTAAACTATCTTTACTAAACAATAAAGTGAAATTTTATGAATACACAATATAAACTATTATATACCCATACATTAAATATTCAGAAACAACAAATTATGACACTTAAGAATGTTAATCCAAAACAAAAACATTTTTCAAGATTTAATTTCCTTGAAATACAAATGAATTAGCAAATCATATATTCTGCAAATGAAACACGGTAATTTTAAATAAGCCAGGAACTATAACTAAAATCTCATAAACTAAATTATAAGAGTACTCAATATGGAAACTCGAGTCCTTCCACACCTGAATGTTACTGAACATAGCATGCTAGCAAGTTCTTTCTCCAGACCAAACAAAATTATTTCATATCTTTCCTCATTGTGGTATTATAAGACTAAAATTATACTTCTACACATCATAAAAATTAACTTTCTGCTAATTCAGGTAGATATTTTTGCTTATATTTTTAGGTTACACAATAAAGGAAACCTGTATAAAATCATTAAAAGAAACTTGAGTTTCCCTTTCATATTTTTCTGTGAACACGTACTATGAAAGAAATTTCACCTAGGAAAATCAGTCCTGAAATGACAAGGACTATAGATATATAGTCAATATATACACAATGTATATAATATATATAAACTATTAAATTAATAAGAAAAAATTATTAATACTTAAAAACACTTCAGCCTTTTTGTCTCTTTTGTGAGGTAACTTGAGGTACCTTTAAATAATCCCAATACTCCCCTCTGTGGTCAAAAGAGGAAGTGCTCAAATAAGCCAAATTCAATACTGCTCATTGTTTGCCCCTTTGTGACATTAAAACTGATAGTGCAAGGATCCATATGGTACTGTTTACATAAACAAAGAGAACGGGGGAACCAAGGCCCTACAGTCTGGAGGGCCTCTTGAGGTGGCGTTATCCAGATCAGAAAAGACTTACCCCAGAGATCATCTAGTTCATTCCTACAAAAGAAGAAACGTGCTCAGAGAGCTCCTTATCTTGTTTCCCTGCTCAGGCCCTTTCTACTGTTATCTATAGCTGGAACTGCTGAATTACTGGATTTAATTAAAAACCACTCCCTACTTAGTTCCTCTTATTTAAAGAGTCAGAGTTCATGTTGGGGGAAAAAAAATAATAGTTTAGTGATAGTATAGATTTTCAGTTACACAAAAGAGGGGTTTGGAGTTTTATTAATTAGTGCTAAATTAGAGTTTTAGAGATTCACTAAAATTCAGTAATACTTATTTTTATGACAAACACAAGGAATTCAGCTAAACTATAAATGGCTGTACAATGGTGTCAGTTACCATTTTTAATGCCTCTTTTCTTAACAGATTTCTCTTCTAAAAATCTTTTTCTTCTACTTTAAAAACCAAATTACTTTCTTTTAAAAATAAAAGTCATGTAAAAGACAGTAAAGAGTAAATAAGAAGTTTACATATACTACCAAATCAACAAACAAGAGTAAGTGACCTGAGGTCTTTGTGCACCCGCATTTGGGAAAGGAGTTAAAAACTGCTCCCAAAGTAGCAATTAGTATTTTGTCAAAGGGGTCAAGTCCATGGTGAGGGCTGTGCAGAAAGAAGAAGGGTTTCCTGTCTCACTGAACTTCAGAAGCAGCTGCTACAGCATCTTTCCATTATTTCGGAGAGGTAAGAACCAAGGCGAGAAGGGACAAGGAGGAAAGCTCTGCCCTGCTGCTCAGGGAGAAGATGACTTCAGGATGTTCTTCAGCATCATTTTTTTATCCATTCAGAAAAAGGTTTAACAAATATTGATGGAGTCTCTATAACATGTCAGATACTCTTCTACCAATCACAGTAAACACAAATACGTATAAGACATAATTCTTGCCCAAAGAACTTTCACATCTAGTTGGGGAAATGAGATACACACAGGAGAAAAAAAGAGCTACATGCATAGGCAATGGGTGGTATAGACAGTAAATGCTGTGAGAGTTGAGGGGAGGGTGGGATGGGGGGGTGGGGGTAGTTGTCACTAGTGAAAGTACTTAGAGCTTCAGAGAAGCAATAAAAAAGGTAAAACGCCAGCTTTGAAATTAGTATGGAAAAATGTTTTTAAAAAGTTCATTTGTGGGGACCAGCCCAGTGGCATAGTGGTTAAGTTTACACGCTCTGCTTTGGTGGCCCAGGGTTTGTGGGTTCGGATGCCGGGTGTGGACCTACACACTGCTCATCAAGCCATGCTGTGGCAGCACCCCATATACAAAACAGAGGAAGACTGCCACAGATGTTAGCTCAGGGCCAATCTTCCTCACCAAAAAGAAAAGAAAAGTTCATTTGGCAGTCAGGAATTTCTTGGAAATTGGAAATGGGTTTTTCATAGAAATAATTTCATAAGTTATGGTTAATATCTTGGGCCAGTCCACCAAAATCCACCTAGACCACATGGAGCCTCCTAGCCACCTGCACCAAGTGCATCTGAAACCTTAGCTCTGAGTTCCATGGGCCTGAGGCAGAGCAGAGTAGCAGGGAAGATAAGAATATGATTTAGGCACCAGGACAGGACAGGCCCCACCACCTACACCTCCGGCAGGCCTTTCAGCAGCCCTCCAGGAAGCGATGGGAGGTCACAGAAGCCAGGACAGCATGGCTACTCCAACCCTGGGGCATTTAAGTGGTCAAGTTTTGGAGGCCAGGGCAGTCCATTATTAATAGGCCATTGAAAGTAATGATTGATTGAAACCACAGCATTACTTTTTATAAGAGAAGAAACGTGACATTTACGGAACACCTATCTCATGCCGGGGACTGTCAGCCACATTCCATTTCTTAAAAATATAATGCTCACAACTATCTTATGAAGTAGATAACATTTCTCCTATTTTATAGATGAGGACACTGAGGCTCAGAGAGGTTAAACAATTGGCCCACTGTCACCCAGCCCTGGGACTTGGCTTTAGACCTGACTCTAAAGCCTTTCCAGGGTCTCTGCCCGCACACCAGCTGCCTCTTGGAGGTGTCAACAAGAGCCAGCAAGATGGAACTTTTGCTAATCATCAGACTCTTCCTTTCTGAAATAAGTGACTTAAATCCTTTTAGACCAGTGCCAGGAACAAATTCCAAAGAACTGACTTCCCCTGTGTCAGATCAATGGGGCTTTGTGTCCTTTCCTTCCGGGGGACCTTTCTAATGAGATCTTGAAAATTAATCCTGTGACAGGAGTGGCTGTTTTGCTGCTGCTTTGAGAGTTGTTTTGATGTTTACTTTTTAATTTTGCTATAGCTTAATCAGTTTCCAAGAAAATCGTAAAAGGAAAAAGTCAGATAATAATATTAGAGGTATGTAAAGAGGGGGAAAAGATTGGACTTTTTTTACTTGCCCATGTCAGATGAAATACATATTCTAGTGGCCGACACACATTTCAGCAGAGAGGCAAGAATTTCTATTTCTGCTCTTTATCCAATAAGTTTTACAACAGGTTAAAGGAAACTAGAATATCTGGACTTACAAAGCCTTTCACAATCTTCATAAGAAGAAGGAGAAATAAATAGTACTCAAATCATCTTATTTATATTTATTAGAAGAAAAAAGAAAAATCACCACATTTATCATTAGAGATGGGTTGAATTTTCCTGTTTAGTAGAAGACAAATATATAAAAGAGATTACCTTTTAAGTTCTCAAATAATATAAATGCAGCTTAAGCTATTGTGAATTCCTTCTGACACAGGAAACTGGTATGCATAGACTGTGAAATGGCAGACAAATCTCATGGCTTTAATCTAGTTCATAACACCTTTAAAAAGAAGCAGTTAACAAGTCTCTGCTCTCTTTAGAAGTATTGTGAGTTCAAATGTCACCAGTTCCATTCATGGGGAAGCTTACAGGACCTAGATGCTAAGTAATGCAAATGGAATGGTGCAGAGAAGGAGAATGGGTATGGGGAAGACAAAGAACTAATATTCATTGGTTACCAGCAGGGTTTATCTCGCTGAATCCTTACAACAACCTTGTAGAGAAATGAGAGTTACCACTTACTAAGCACCCAAGTCCTAGGACTATAATAGGAGTTTTCATTATTCTTTTTTTATCAGTAAGGAAATGGAGGTTCAGAGAGTTGGAGTTACCTTCATGAGATTTTATCGCTATGACTGGGGATATCTGGATTTGAGTCCAATCCATCTGAAACTATCCGTTTACCTACTCTCTCCCCGTAAAAGGGTGGAGTCAAGTCTTATTCATCTTTGCAGGCCAATACGAAGCAAGTTCCCTGACACAGAAAGCGCTCCATAACCAGGTGTTGCCACGACTGGCCCCAAGGTGCAAACTTTCCCCTGGGTTACAGTTGCCTTTCAGAGGGCAGAATTCCCTTCATATCTCTGCTTGGCCTCCTTTGTGATCTTATCAGCTTTCATTAGGCTTTCAGTTTTGTTTTTCTACACACAACCAAATCCACTGCAGTCTTTTCTTCCCCATAATAAGAAGTTAAAAGACTGAAAAAAAGGAAAAAAAATGAAGGGAAAAATTGAAAGTACAGTAGACAGAAATGTAACCCTTACTTTACCAATGTACTTACGGGGACAGCATTGGTCAGAGAAGCCCAAAGTATTAAGAGTGCATAATTGGGTTGCTTCTGTTCATTTTTTTCCATCTCTATGGTATCCATCATAGCCTGTACGAATGTCTGTTTAAAAGAAAGAAATATTGTTAAACCACTTCTATGCGACAAAGACCGATGCTAATAAACAAAGACTTGCCTTTTCTTTTCTTCTTTTCTGTATTAGAAACAATATCTAAAATATTATTCCTGCCATTCCTAGGTTTGCAGTTTCTGGCATGCTAAGGGATTTATACACTTACTGGTAGTATAGTAATTAGGAGTAGGGACTCTGGAGCTCGACTCCTCAGCTGGTTCAAATCCTGGCGTTTTCTTTTTAAGACTTTATTTTTTTTTAGAGCAGTTTTAGGTTTACAATAAAATTGAGAAGAAGCTACAGAGATTTCCCATATAACCCTTACCCCCATACATGCATAGCCTTCCCCATTATCAACATTATTCACCAGAATGGTACATTTTTTACTAAGGATGAATCTACGTTGACACATCATAATCATCTAAAGTCCATAGTTTACCTTAGGGTTCAATCTTGGTGTTGTAAACTCTATGGCTTTGGACAAACGCATAATGACATATATCCATCATTACAATATCATAGTGAGTATTTTCACTGCCCTAAAAATCCTCTATGCTCTGCCTATTGATCTCTACTCCCTCTCTGACAACCACTGATTTTTTCACTGTCGCCATAGTTTTGCCTTTTCCAGGATGTCATATAGTTGGAATCATACAGTACGTAGCTTTCCCAGGTTGACTTCTTTCTCTTAGTAATACACATTTATGGTTCCTCCATGTCTTTTCATGGCTTAATAGCTCATTTCTTTTTAGTGTTGAATAATATTCCATTCTCTGGATGTACCAGAGTTTATCCATTTACTTACTGAAGGGCATGTTAGTTGCTTCCAAGTTTTGGCAATTACAAATAAAGTTGCTATAAATATCCGTATGCAGGTTTTTTTGTGTGGACATAAGTTTTCAAATCATTTGGGCAAATACCAAGAAGTGCAATTGCTAGATTGTATGGTAAGAGCATGTTTCGTTTTGTAAGAAACCACCAAAGTGTCTTCCAAAGTGTCTGTATCATTTTGCATTCCCACCAGCAATGAATGAGAGTTCCTGTTCCTCCACAACCTCCCTAGTATTTGGTGTTGTCAGTGTTCCAGATCTGGTCATTCTAATAGGTGTGTAGTGGTATGTTATTGTTGTTTTAACTTTCAATTCCCTGATGGAATATGATGTGGAGCATCTTTTCATATGTTTATTTACCACATATGGTATATCTTCTTTGATGAGGTGTCTGTTAAGTTCTTTGGTCCATTTTTTCATTGGGTTGCTGTACCTTATTGCTGAATTTTAACTGTTCTTTGTATATTTTGGAAAACAGTTCTTTATCAGATGAGTTGTTTGCAAATCTTCTCTCTCAGTCTAGGGTTTGTCTTCTAATCCTCTTGATATTGTCTTTCACAGAGCAGTTTTTAATTTTAATGAAGTCCAGCTTATCAATAATTTCTTTCATGGATTATGTCTTTGGAGTTATATCTAAAAAGGCATCCCTGTACCCAAGGTCAACTAGGTTTTCTCCTACATTATCTTTCAGTAGTTTAATACCTTAGTATTTTACATTTAGGTCTATGATCCATTTTGAGTTACTTTTTGTAAAAGATGTAAAGTCTGTGTCTAGATTCATTTTTTTGCATGTGGATGTCCAGTTGTTTCAGCACTATTTGTTAAAGCATCTATCTTTTTTCCACTATATTGCCTTTGAACCTCTGTCAAAGATCAGTTAATTATATTTAAGGGGGTCTATTTCTGGGTTCTCTAGTCTCTCTCATTAATCTATTTGTCTATTCTTTTGCTAATACCACACTATCTTGATTACTATAGCTTTATAGTAACTCTTAAAGTCAGGTGGCATCATTCTTTTGAAAAACTTTTTTCTTCTCTTTCAATATTCTGTTGGCGATTTGGGGTCTTTGCCTCTCCATATAAACTTTAGAATCAGTTTGTGAATATCCATAAAATAACTTGCTGGGATTTTGATTGAGATTGCACTGAATCTACAGACCAAGTTGGAAAGAACTGACATTTTGACAATATTGAGTCTTCCTATCCATGAACATGGAATATCTCTACATTTATTTAGTTCTTTGATTGTATTCATCAAATTTTTATAGTTTTCCTCATACAGATCTTGTATATATACAGTTAAATTTATACCTAAGCATTTAACTTTTGGAGGTGCTAATGTAAATGATAAAGTGTTTTTAATTTCACATTCCACTTGTTCATTGTTAGTATACAGGAAAGCAATTAACTTTTGTATATTAACTTGGTATCCAGCAACCTTGCTATAATTGCTTATTAGTGCCAGTATTTTTTTGTTGTTGATTTTTTTGGATTTTCTATACATCGATTATGTTATCTGTGAACAAAGATGGTTTTATGTCTTCCTTCCCAATCTGTATAACTTTTATTTCGTTTCTTGCCTTACGGCATTAGCAAGAACTTTCAGTAATATGTTGAAAGGGAGTGAGAGGGGACATCATTGCTGAAGGGATTCTGGTACCAACTTTCAATGTGTGTGGATGGGGATTCCACACACCAATGAACAATGCTCAGGACACCAGTTGGGTGTCCTATAATTCAACTCAACTCAATTCAATTCTGATACTATCTACTTGGAGACAGCATCAGGTTCCACAGGTTAAGGGTTCAGTCCTACAAGACTGCACCCACCTACCCACTCAGATGCCAGTTGCAAGCTCACGTTATTGCCTGTGCTTCTGACTGACTGGCTACAGACTGGACGTTCCAGTGACCCACTCCTTGGACTTCAGATGCCAGACGAAATTCCAGGTTGTTATCTGTACTTCTGACCAACTGGCTATATAAATCAGAGACTCCCATGACCCCTTCCTCAGATTTGATTAATTTGCTAGAGTGGCTCACAGAACTTAGAAACATTTTACTTACTGGATTATTGGTTTACTATAAAAGGATATTATAAAGGGTACAGATGAACATCCAGATGGAAGAGCTGTGTAGGGCAAGGTATGGGAAAAGGGTGCAGAGCTTCCATGGTTTTTCCAAGCACACCACTTTCCCCAAATCTTTATGTTTTCACTAACCCAGAAGCTCTCTGAATTCTGTCCTTTTGAATTTTTATGGATGCTTCATTACATAGGCATGATTTATTAAATCATTGGCCATTGGTGATTGATTCAACCTCCAACTCACCAAGAAAATAAGAGAGAAGGCTCAAATAAATAAAATCAGAAATGGAAGAGGAGAAATTACAATGGATGCCACAGAAATACAAAACATTATAAGAGAATACTATGAAAGGCTATATGCCAACAAATTGGATAATCTAGAAGAAACAGATAAATTCTTAGAATCATACAACTTTCCAAAACTGAATCATGAAGAAATAGAGAATCTGAATAGACAAATCACTAGTAGGGGGTTGAAACAGTAATCAAAAACCTCCCCAAATCAAGATGAACAGACAACCAACCAGCTGGGAGAGAATATTTGCAAAACATACATCTGACAAGGGGTTGATCTCCATAATATATAAAGAACTCACACAACTGAACAACAAAAAAACAAACAACCCGATCAAAAAATGGGCAGAGGAAATGAA